GCCCCTGGTACAAAAATACAGGGTTTACTCATAGAAACCCTGTTCATTCCTGTACCAGGAAAAGAGAGAGAGAGAGAGAGAGAGAGGAGAGAGAGAGAGAGAGAGCGAGAGAGAGAGAGAGAGAGAGAGAGAGAGAGAGAGAGAGAGAGAGAGAGAGAGAGAGATCTCTCTTGTAGTGTGGCCAGACCAGATGGCTTAGAAGAGCATCCCCCTAGCCTCTCCTAACCTCCCCCCATCTGTCCCTTACCTTACACCCACCAGGTAGGACGGTTACCTTTTAATGCTGCCAGTCAGCGGCCACACAAACACACACACACACACACACACACACACGTGCACACACACGCACATGCACACAAAAACACACACGCATGCACAGGCTGTGATAATTGAACATGCATGTGTGGCATCTCTTCAGGGACACAGAGGCCCGAGCATGCAGACATGCACGTACATGAACAGGCGCATAGTCCCCTACATACACATCAAATCAAACACAACTATGGAAGCTTAATAGTTAAAGAAACAAAAGCCAACTAACAAAACACACACTTGCTTGCACACCCTCACACACGCGCACGCACACACACACACACACACACACACACACACACACACACACACACACACACACACAATCTCTCTACGTACCCCTCTGCCCCCCGTGTGCTGGTGTGTTGCCTAGCATGTTAGCCCCTGGGCTGGCAGAGCGTAGTGAGCCTGTGGGACAGGGAGTGTCAGACAGTGGGCTTCTCAGGGCGAATGCTGGGAAGGGATTGGTGGTAATTCTAACAAGCTGTGAGGGTGGGGGGGGGGTGGAGCGTGAGGGTGGGTGTGGTGGAGGGTGGTAATCCACTCAGACACACAGCCCCCCCCCCCCCCCTTCTCCGGATATCTAGGGATGGGAACACACACACACACACACACACGCGCGCGCACACACACACACGCACGCACACACGTGCACATGCGCATGCACGTTAAAGACCTGTGATGTCATTAATCACTGGGCCAGTGGGTTGACGAAGGGATCCAGAGCTCGCCGCTAGACGCCGCCTCCTCCGGTCACAGCACTTGATCGGCTGGCAGGTTAAACCGGGCTTAACAGGGAAGCCGTTTAACATTTAACCACACTGTCCTGACCCTGGCTTGGCAGAGAGAACACCACAGACAATACCACAGATAACATAGCTATTCTGCACTCTGTCCAGTTGTTGTTTTACTGACTTTTTTTGTAGTCGCTGCTCCAATTTTGATTATATGCTATGGTTGTTCAACCTCAGTCTCACTTGTGCGTTCCTCATTCCACACATGCAGCACATCTAATGCCGTTGTGTTGTGTTTAAAGGCAGTGGATCTGTAGCACTTGATAAACGCGCTCCAGACTGCTGTTGAGGAGCCCCTCGCTGAGAGACACAGTGGCGCTCGCTCGTAAACAAACAGCGCTAATGGCCCTCTGCAGGGAAACAACAGCATGCTCATTGAAATCCTTCTGGCAAAGGAATAAGTAAAAACCAGTGATATCCGGATGCTAGTAAGCTCTAGGTATCTCTCCGTTTCTGCTGGATCCGCAGATGGTAATTAAGATCTGCGGCAACTCAATTAAATGAAGAACACACAAATGGCTGTGTTGACGTGATTTACTGGTTTCGTTTTCCATTAGGAATCAATTGCTACTGCAGGCTAGCGGCGGCTGAAGGGGGATTACACAAGAGTGCTAACGAAGCACAAGATCATCTTCAACATGCTTGCGACACAAAGGTCTACATGGTGATGCTTGGTTGAGGTGGTCTTGGGAAATGGCACAACACTAAGTATGCCATTACATCATTTATATTATGTTCTGTGTGTGTGTGTGTGTGTGTTTGTGTGTGTGTGTGTGTGTGTGTGGGGGGGGGGGGGGGGTGGTGTGTGGGTGTGTATTAACATGTTAACAGTAAATGTACAACAGCACGTTTCAATAGACATGCCTTAAAACTGCTAATGATTAGACTGCTAAAAGTTGAATCACTCTTCCATCATCTAATGTTATCATTTTTACCTTTTTTACATCAGTTAGATCTTCTATCCTGCCTTAATGTCATTCGTATTGTAAACACACACATCCCTGCCTTCCTATCTGTTTTGTCCATCAGTCTGCCTGGCTGTCCATCTGCTGGGAGGCCGGAGAGCAAGACAGAGCGTTTCTGTGTGCCTCTCTGCCTGGAATCTGGGTCAAGGTTGCAGTGCTCTGTGGTTCTGGCTAGGGATCCACTTCTCATATTACGTCGACCTGATTGCATTTTTAATCCTGCATCCAATAAGCAGTCAATAAATGCTGTCGCTGGCGAAAGAGACACAGAGTTTAAATGGCGTTCTATGGAAAAGCTTCAATGTAGTTATTTCATTTTCCAAATCGCATACATTGGCAATGTCATTTTTTAAAGAAAATATGTTGGCCAATGGGTAGATATACATACATAGAGAGAAAGAAAGAAAGAAAGAAAGAAAGAAAGAAAGAAAGATAAAAAACGAAATATAATACACATAGTAACATTCAGACAGCAGAGTAGACATAGAAGAGCTGGTCTGTGATTGGTCAAGCTTGTGAGTTTACAACAGAGACTATTTCACCAACTGTATTCTCCAACATGACTCAACACGCTGGCTCACACACAGCTATACTGTTTCAGAAACCATCTGTTCTTCCACTTCAGACGTTCGGACTGCCATCTAAATCCTATGCTCTCAGTCCCATTTCCATGGTGGTTCATTTCATTTTAACACTAAAATACAAACACACAGATTCTACTTCAAATACCACCAACATTTGATGACCACATTTTCTCAGTCACTAGCATGACAATCCACATATTGAAGGAGCTGAACATTTAAAGCCAAATTAAATCATTCATAAAACATTTCAAAGCCCACAAATGGATACCACTTAACATTTTAACTTTTTCTAAAACAAAATGACCAATTTTCGATTTAAAAGAAAAAACATACTTTAATTACATTAAAGTATATGCCAAAAACAATTTTCCCTCCCTTCCCTTCCCTTTAACAATTCAGCTTGAATGTCTAAATCATATTTAAACTTCATCAAGGTTGTCCGATTAATGCTGTTTTACAGGTCATTTGGAGGCAGCAACTCTCGACTGTCCTCATAAAACCCTCTACTTTCCCCCAGGTACCTCATAAAACATTGACCTTGATGGTCCAGTCCCTATCGTGGCAGCAGCACCTCTACATCTCATAAAACATTTACCTTGATGGTGGAGGAGGCGTACAGCATGTCCTCCAGGGTGAAGTGACAGCAGCCGTTCAATTTCTCCTTGCAGAAGTCCCGGATGAGCTGCAGGTTGTACAGGCTGTCGGCCAGCGTCATGTTCTCCTTCAGGCACACATCTGGACAGGAAGCCATGGTGTCAGGGTCAACAGGGTTCAAGCGGGTCACATGCGCCAGTGATGGAAAACAAGCTGCCGGTGGTGGTGTTGTTGTTGTTGTTGTTAGCATGCGTCCGTGGTAGCTCATGTGGTTAGGTTAAGTCAGTGAACCACGATTTAACTTTGGAGTGTGTAAAAATGCTGCAATGTTAATGCAACGTTGTCAGAGGGCCACTTTATGCTAGAACCTGTTAATGTATGAACCAATCATTTCAATGATTGGCTGACGTTTGGCCGAAGGAGCGGAGGAGGGAAGAGATAATCCCATCAATCAATGGGAATGTCAACTGAAGTGTTACATCAGTCGTAGGTCACTTGGTTCTGTTGACGGTGTGTTTGATTAAACACAAGGCTTTGATTAAATGTGTGTGTGGGCCATGTGTGTGTGTGTGTGTGTGTGTGTGTGCGCGTGCGTGCGTGCGAGCTTGTGTGTGTCTTGCATAAAAAGCCCTCATCAACACCTTGACAGGATTAAGCGTCATTCATTCTGATGAGAAAATCACACTGTGGTATTGTAGTTGCCAGATAGTACTTATAACAACATGCATTCAATTCAACATGAAGAAGAGGTAATAACGGAGGAGGACATGCTAGAGAAATGTCTTTCTTGTTTTGAAGACTCAAAATCTCCTGGTAGATGTACCAAACCAAACACCATGTACAACAAATGCACTTGGAAAATCATGTCCCACAGACAGTTTACAATATAACATGTCGTCATGTGGCACACACTTTTACTATGTGTCTTTAACTTGGACACAAGCCATTGGGGGGGAAGGTAGGGGGATGTTGGGCATCTTAGGCTCAAGGTAGGCCAGGCAATGGCAAGGCATTGAACCCCGAACCTTTCCGCTTGTCCTTGAACACCCCAAGGCAACCCACAACCCACACACACCTACATTTCCTCCCAAACCACACCCCCTATACACACATACACAACAACAACAACAACAACCCCCCCCATGCACACATACACTTTCAGACCTTCCACCCATCCTCACACCCTTCCCTTCCCACCCCCACTCCCTCCCAGGCATCATGTCCCTACCGTCCAGGGCCAGACGGGAGGGGCAGTAGAAGTGGAGGAGGGCTGCCAGGGCAGAGCCATCAGTGGTGTCCTTCAGCAGGTTGTCCACCGGGGGGATCCAGGGTTGCTGCGGGGTCGGGTTCTGGTCCTTCCTGTAGCGTGTCTGCGGTAGCACACCAAGTCCATGAGCATACAGGGTTGAAGTCAGGGTGGTGCGTAACAAAGAATAACATTTGTATCTACTTACGAAGAAGGATGCTTTTATCCAAAGCAACTTACTGAATTAATTCTGATACTTGTCATTAAGGAGCATGTAGGGCAGGGGTCAAGGCATCTTGCTTAAGGGTGCCTACAGGTTAGGCTGTGGACATCTGGGAGATCGAACCCAGTATCCTTGGGCATGGGAGTCAAACCCACTAGACTACAGTATCCTACCCTGCTACTTTATATCATATTGCAGCATCCTGTGGTCCTGTGTGCTCATCTGGTACAGCACTGCATTCATATTAACAGGGTTAGGGGTTTGATTCCCTTTCAACAGGTTGGTTCTTTGTAGCTAAATTGGTAAAGCATGGTGTTAAGAGTGTCAGGGTTGGAGGTTCAATTCCCGCTGGGGAGCCATCCATGCTAAGAATATTTGAAGAGGCTTTGGATATAAAAGCGTCAAAAAGCTTTGTTTGTGGCACCAAACAAAACATAAAACAACTGTAGATGAGACAGAGGTTAAAAGCAACAGACATAAAGGCAGGAGGCAAGAAGCAAAATGAAGCATAATAGAGAAACAGAACACGATAAATACTGACAGACCTGCAGAAACAAGGGAACCAGAAAAAATGATCACTATTGATACGCACATGCACATGGAAAACATGTTAGCGGACTTACAGGCACAAGCTTCATGTACCACTTGGTTGGAGACTGCAGCAGCGCGTTAGCACAGGACAACAGAGAGAAGACAGTAGAGACAATTGGGATAAAGGTTAGTATGCAGAGAAAGCTACAGCCAGGTAGCAACATGTAGCCTATGTTAGCCGTATGTTAGCAGTATGTTAGCTTCAGCTGAGGGTGTCGACACAGAGATGGTATCCTAAATGCCAGCAACTAGTGTTCCTGATATTAATTCAATCATTTGTTTTGAGTAAACATCAATTATCCGAATATCATACCTGGGCACATTTTGCTTTTAAAATGGAAAGGAAAAATATCAAATGGTCTGCATTTGATATTTTGGGTGTGATCATGCAGCATATAAGTTTGATTTCCAGTAGGTTGCATCGACCAGATACAGAACCAGTCACCCCAGTCCAGTAATAACCAAGACCTTCCAGGATCAAATTGTAAAATTTCAATCCATAAGAGCCAGTATGAAAATCAAGGGCCGCTTTTCTTTAAATGTAAGTCAATCATGCATTAAAAACGTCAGCTAAAACCCTTCAATGGAACATTTGACAACATTGTCAGCCCCATGCTTTTACAGTGGAAATAAGCTGATTCAAGAATAGGCCGGGTTCTTCACACTTGTTAGCACTTCAACACACTCGCACACACTCTCACACACTACCAGCCAGCACCCTAATCCTTCAAACACATGACAGTAAGTGGCATTCAAACATCAGAGGAGAAGGAGGAGGGAGGAGGGGGGGAGAAGAGAAGGATGATGAGGAGGAGAGGGGGAGAAGCGGAAAAAGGCGGAGGAAAAGAAAGCGAAGGCATACAAGGAGGAAGAGGTGGAGGAGGAGGAGGAGGAGGAGGAGGAGGAGGAGGAGGAGGAGAGTGATGGACTATGGACTGGAAAGATTGAAGCTAGTGTGTCTCTAGTTCCAGACGTGTAATTGGACAGCACCACTATCCTATAGCTCCTCTTCACTGTGTTCTTTGAACAGGTAATAGGAGTCACTCCTCAGATCCTGTCTTCAGGATCTGATCCTATCAAAGACGACTCTGTGTGAACTACATTCATCTTATTTACTCAGTACAGCTAATCAGAAGGCTCTTTTAACCCTTGACACCACCGGGTTTGCAAAGGTAACAGAATGACCTTTTGTTACTCCTTCTGGAGAGATGAAAGGGAAATGTAGATATTTTACAAATGAACAAAATTGGTTCATAAATTAACAAGGTAAATGTCACAGAATATCTGTTGCATTAAATCAAGGACACATCAGATTTGTTAATAGATCTCAAACGACCCAATAATCACTCCATGACTATATCCATGCAATGTACAAACACCAGCCTGGGCTCCCTGCCAGTAGGCCTGTCCACCTCCCACCATCATAACCAGCACTCCCACCACCAAGGGTCTGGACAAGAGAGGGAGGAGGAGGCGCAGAGGGAGGAGGAGGTGCAGTGGGTGGAGGAGGGAGAGGAGAACCTCTGTGACATCCATGGTAGGGAAGAGGAGAGTTGTCAACACTAGTTGCCAACACTAGTGTTGACAACAATTACTAGTGACACAGCATTTCAACTGCTGATACTACCTACTATGTGATCAAATGGACTCTTCCCCCACAGGTGTTAGCACCAGCACTTCCATCAACAGCTGTTACCATCACCACCAGAACTACCAGTACAGCACGGACCAGCACCCTCTGACCAACAACAGAGACATGCAGCCGAACCGCAGTAACAACTCTGCACAACTGCAGTACTGGATAATGAATAAAACATTATTTCAGGCATATTTTGGGGTGTTTTTCTAATTCCCTCTTTTTCTAGTTTTATAATCCATCGTGCCAAATAAGGGTGTGTACAGCTTTATACTGACATTTTATTTCTGCTTTGATTTATCTGTACAAGTGATAGCATATTTATAGTGAAATATAAACCTACAGCTGTGGTGTAAGCTGGACTGTAAACATGTAAGGATGCAAATTAATGTCTGTGCGCATGTGTATGTGTTTCCGTTTGAGTGTATATGTGTTTGCATGCATGGCTGTACTTGTATATATCAAGGAGAGCTTGTTAAGGGAATTGTCCTGCAAGGTCTGTCAGTGTACATTTTTCTCACAGTGCTTAGACGGATAGTAGCCCTCACTAGCCCCGCCAGACCATCATACAGTACGTGAGTTTTGACCTTTTGTTGAAATTTCACCGGACTCTACTGTCACACTCTTTCTCATGCCCTACGCAAAAGGCGGTTGCTGGTGATGCCATCATAGATTTTAAAAACCGCCCCTGACACAAACAGCCCCCCTCACAGACAAGCCACGTCTGGCTCAGCAAGTCAAATGCTACGGGCTACATGAAATGGTCCCGACATAATGCAGACATGCTTTTTTGCCTTTCTTTTTACTTTTTTGCTATGTTTTTATAGAACAATAATTAGAAAAATGATTTTAGTCGAAAATGTGTCATACAGAAGAAGGCTAGCCCATAGTATATATGACAGTAGCGGTGTATAAAACCCACTAAAAACACTAATTTCAACATGGAACAAAACGATGGCCCAAATAACAGAATAGAAGAGTTGAACAACACCCACACTCTGTATTTACCAAACACATTAATCTGACTGTCACATTAAGAAGCTCTCTCTTCCTTCGGGCAGGAGGGTTGTCATGGCGTCATCTGGCATTATGTACGTGTTCTGGCATTATGTACAACACACATACGTGTGTGTATGTGTGTTGGTGAAGGCATGCTGGGCTGCGTATGCACGCTGACTGGACGCGTCAGTGTCAAGTTTAGCCGAAGCCTGCACTGCACTGCACACACACACAAACATACACACACTTTCCTCAAAGACCCAGGTGTCATATCCTCCCTGAGATCATCTGATAGTGAAAACTCTCTCCCACTGTCTCTCTGTCTGTCTGTCTGTCTGTCTGTCTGTCTGTCTGTCTGTCTGTCTGTGTTATCTGTCTCTCTCCCCGTCTCTCTTCCTCCCTCCCTTCCTCCCTGCAGTGGCAGCCTGACTGAAGGTGTGGTGTCACGATGCACTGCCTCCCAGAACTCATGACTTCCTGTTCGTGTGAAACACAGCTGGAGGACACAGCCGGGCCGGTGAACACAATACAGTGACGTATTGTCACTGTGTGGTGAGCGAGGTTAAAGAGGCCAGGAGAGAATGCAGGAGAAGGGAGGTGAGAAGAGAAAAAGTGATGAATGATAAGAGGTGAGGAGAGGAAAGGGAAAGAAAGGAGAGGTGAAGAGAGAGGAGGTGAGGTGAGGACAGAGAGAGAGAGACAGAGAGAGAGAGAGAGAGAGAGAGAGAGAGAAAGTAAGATTAGATTAGAGCAAAGGGGACTCGGGTGTGAAAAGATGAGAGAGGAGTGAATGTATTCACTTTTATTGCCAGGTGGTACATGGAGGGAGGAGAAAGGATGTGTTTCTCACTTGATATAAATAGTCACTTGTTCTTAAATAAATGTATGATAAAATGAAAAGAAGAGGGTAGAGGACAGGAGTGACATCATCATCACTGAAAGGCTCTGTTCTGCCAGTTCTGCTGAGTCAGGCTGGTGGGCGATGGCAGCGGTTGTTGCCACGCCAACAGGCCCATAGGAGCCCCATGAGGCCCCAATAGTGTAATGACGGCACCTTGCGCTCTATAAAGATCTGAACACACACATGCACACATAACTTGTGGGGAGTTGTGGGGTACACCTAAGTGGCCTCTGTCTCAGTAATGTAGATTAATAAATACAGGAGAGGATAGCACTCATGCAAGTGTGAGAGTCAATACATTTATAAGAAAAGATAGTTAGATAAGAGAAGAAAAGATGAGAGGGGACAAAAGAAGAGGAGAGGAGAGGAGACGAGACGAGACGAGACACCAACCCGAGGGCTTCCATCAGGGTCTGGGCTCTGAGTGTCCTTCTTCTTCTGGTCCTGGGTGATGACATCCTTCAGATACTCTGTAACCTGTACCAGAGAGGAGGAGATACTGTACTGTAACATTCATCACTAAACATTAATTTGGATAAACAGAGCATTTCATAATGATCACACAAATAAACCCCACAATAATAACTACCAACTACCAACAAAACCAATTGAGGCTCACTTTACATAAATAAATGAATGAATTATTAATTGAGAATGGATCAGGATACCTTGTTGATCCAGGTGTTGACTGCGTCCTCCGTGTTGTACGGGGTCTCCAGATCGGCGTTGCAGGGGTAGTACTGGAGCAAGCAGGCCAGCACCTTCTCCGTGCTCACCGTCTCCATGGTAAACGCCATCATCAGGGCGTCAATCATGGCCAGGTGAGCGCTCTGCAGGAGGAGACAGTATTGAGATATTTGTCAAGATTTGTACTAAATATAAAGGATAAGTGCCAGATATTCCATTATCCAATCTATCGTATCCTGTCTTTTATTCTCATAAATTTGTTTATAAAAATAATAATTTTTCAATATGTTTACATTATATAAAATAAAAATATATCATTTCATATACATCGCCCTTCAAACTTAAATTCAATGATCACTAAAATCCCAGCATTGAACTGTATATATTCAGCATATATAATCATGTGTGTGTGTGTATATATATATATATATATATATATATATATATATATATGGCAATTATCTGTCTCTATAGTGACACCCTCATCACTGTTGCCCTGGTAACCAGTGTGTTCACCATTCCCCCATCATTTGTCCCAGTTTGCT